TTGTTATTAAGAGGGTATTTTGTTTATTGTTCCTATCAACTGCTGAAAGGTTTCTGAAAGTTGTAGTAACCATACTCCTGAAGAACACAGGTAAGAAGAGGGGCTGTGATATGCAGCATCTAAGTCAATCACACACATCTTCAGAAAGCTGCTACGCATAAACATACTCAAGTCCAAAAGGCTGCTTCTAAAACAGAACTGTTTGGTTCAGAAAGGAGCCATTTCAATCTGAATACAGGTGACTGAAATTACCATAGTCATCAAGACTTTAATTTATTTGTGTTTACAGCATAAATATGTATGGAAAAAGTCTTTGTGAAATAAAAGAAAAATTCAAGAATTCCAGCTGGAATTTCCCACCTGAACTGAGTTTGGTGGGATGGGCACTCTGGCAAGTCTCCTTCGGTTTGCATCCAAAGCACTGCAAAAGGCCAGTAGAGAATACATTTGGATTCAAATGGATTTGTTGCACTTTCTCCAGCTCTACTATAATCTACCATAAGGTCTTCTCTAGCCTCACATCACGCAACCTGGCTCCCACATCACACAAACTGCCTTTGCATCGCTGACTTCAACTAGTGGCAAAAGCTGAGGACATGCTCTAAGTGTTCCATTAGCACAGAGTCCCTATAAAGGCATTACTCTGCCTCCTCCTCTTCCTGCTCCTCAGGAACCCACTTCAGCTCCTTCAGACTCCTTCCTTTTCACAATTCTATAAATGTTCTTCAGAATTTTTCTTGGGTTTGCTTAATGTATTTTATCTACCCTGTAATTCTTAATAGGACAAAAATTACAGACGGGAAAGTGGTTTCCTGGTTTGGGTGTACCACCAAAAAGGGTCACACAACACTGGGAAGTTGATAAAGCTTAGGCTTATATGATTCCTGACATTAAAAACCAGGGAGTGTCCTCCTTTGCCAAGCAGTAAGGCAAAAACACAAGTCAAAGGCAATCTCTCTCTAAAGAAACCAATAGAAATGTTTATTTTTTCACGTTCTGCTTTAGACATTAAGTCTAAACTAAAGGTCTCAGTCTAAAACTGACCTGTAGTAAATAAAAAAATCACACTTTTCAACTATCTAGTAATATACAGGATTTTGTTATTCCATTTTCCCATTCTTCTGAAATTTTTTAATTATGGTTTGTAGTAAATTTTAGGAAATAAAAGGACAGTGACTCAGCAATTGAGAAAAGCTCCTTGTTCTGCCTTTTTGTTTAAGTCTGGTAATTACTTTAAAGACAGACTTACTCGGGGGGG